ACCAATAGACTGCAGACATAGTACAGGAGATGACCAGAGACTGCGGACACAGTACAGGAGATGATCAGAGACTGCGGACACAGTACAGGAGATGACCAGAGACTGCGGACATAGTACAGGAGATGACCAGAGACTGCGGACACAGTACAGGAGATGACCAGAGACTGCAGATATAGTACAGGAGATGACCAGAGACTGCGGACATAGTACAGGAGATGACCAGAGACTGCGGACACAGTACAGGAGATGACCAGAGACTGCGGACACAGTACAGGAGATGACCAGAGACTGCTGACACAGTACAGGAGATGACCAGAGACTGCGGACACAGTACAGGAGATGACCAGAGACTGCAGACATAATAAGGGAGATGACCAGAGACTGCGGGCACAGTACAGGAGATGACCAGAGACTGCGGACGCAGTACAGGAGATGACCAGAGACTGCGGACACAGTACAGGAGATGACCAGAGACTGCGGACGCAGTACAGGAGATGACCAGAGACTGCGGACGCAGTACAGGAGATTACCAGAGACTGCGGACGCAGTACAGGAGATGACCAGAGACTGCGGACAGTACAGGAGATGACCAGAGACTGCGGACACAGTACAGGAGATGACCAGAGACTGCGGACACAGTACAGGAGATGACCAGAGACTGCGGACACAGTACAGGAGATGACCAGAGACTGCGGACACAGTACAGGAGATGACCAGAGACTGCGGACACAGTACAGGAGATGACCAGAGACTGCGGACACAGTACAGGAGATGACCAGAGACTGCTGACACAGTACAGGAGATGACCAGAGACTGCTGACACAGTACAGGAGATGACCAGAGACTGCGGACACAGTACAGGAGATGACCAGAGACTGCAGACATAATAAGGGAGATGACCAGAGACTGCGGACACAGTATAGGAGATGACCAGAGACTGCGGACGCAGTACAGGAGATGACCAGAGACTGCAGACAATACAGGAGATGACCAGAGACTGCGGACACAGTACGGGAGATGACCAGAGACTGCGGACACAGTACAGGAGATGACCAGAGACTGCAGACACAGTACAGGAGATGACCAGAGACTGCAGACAAATGAAATAATGGCTTTATTTTTCAGTTGTGTTTTTTTTTTTCTTTACAAATGAAATAATGACTTTTTTTTTAAGACCACACAAAAAACAATTTGGAAATTTAAAAGTAGTTTTTTTAAAAATGTTTAATGTTACTGATGATTTTATTCTGTACAACTGTATTTTCAGATTGACAGGACTCATTTTATAGGCAGTCAGGTACTGAAGATCTTTGCACCTCGGGATGATGATGTAAGTTGTCATTTCATAAACATTGTGATTTAAGATTTTGATCTTTAACTTTTAAGCTGTTGCCTTCCTGTCACATTTTTTTTTGGGGGGGGGGGGGGGGGGGGTACAGATCAGACCAGAGTTAGTCAGGTGTGAATGGACCCAAGTTCGTTTACACCCTTCAGTCCATAGGGGTGAATGGACTGTCCAATCGAGTCCGCCTGAAAAACTGCCAGGTGAACCTGATCGGTCCTGTGAAAGGGTGAGAGAGCGGTGAAAACACACACAAGAGGGCGCAGACTCCTCCTGCATACTCACGAATGCATGAAGGCAACAGGCATATGTGAAAATAGAGCCTTGAATGTCTGTCCAGTCTCGGAAGCATCTGGTGAGTGGAGCCAACGCGTTTCAGGAGAGTCAAGCTTCCTTCCTCAGAGCTGAACCTAACAGCTGTCCTGTTTGCCCTTCAAGGTCAAGAGCTGCTTTCACGGGTCTCTGGAATTTCCCCGCTCCATGGAGGGCCGCACCCGAGGAAGCATTACATACTGTCTGAAGTACCCTGATTTGAGCGCTGGAGTGCTTTTTTAGAATTGAATCCCCCAACACTACTTTAATGCAGGCCATAGACAGGTCGAAAATCGGCCGAAAAAAAAAATTGGCCGATTTTCGCACCGTTAGTGGGTTAATTGGTCCTCCGTTTTTCGGGGTTTTGGCACATTTTTTTATCGGTCGAGTTGGAAAATTCACGGACGATTTTGACGACCGGACCATTTTCCCTGCAATGATGGGCAAATCGGCCAATCGTTTTACCGATAAAAAATCTGCGCATGAGCCGTGACCTGCAAGAAGAAGAAAAAGAAGAATTCCAGCCCGATATTATATTTTACATGAAAAAGTCTTGCGGTTGCAACAATGTTATCTATTTGTATCTGAATAAAAACATCTGTATCCGAAATGGATACATTGTTGCAACCGCAAGACTTTTTCATGTAAAATATAATAGCGGAGCTCTCTGCAAGGGACAGAAGTAAAAATGCCGGCTGTAGACGGGACGAAAATCGGCCGATTGTTTTACCGTTGGTGGGAACGTCGGCCGATTAAAACGACCGATTTTTTTTTTTTTTTTTTTTTTTTTTAAAACAGCCAATTTTCTACCCCTCTCTGTCCTTCATAAGGTCCTGTTCTACACTCCCGTCGTGGGTGCAGGCTAAACATTTGACTCCTTCACCTCACCTTTGCAATTGGAACAAGCATAGAACTATACTATATACTGCTGTTTCTACCAAATTAAAATCTTAACCCTAGGTTCACATCTGTGCGGGTGGTGCCGCTGCGGATCCACACGAAAATCCGTGCATCCGCACCACCCACACAGAGAAATGCGGACCCGCGCGGCGGGTGTCATTCGTTCTAATGGCATGCCGCCTGCACTGGAAAATGCAATCGTTCTGGGTACCGAGGATCCCAAGCGGGCTGCGTTTTCAAAAGACGTGCAAGGACTTCTTCCCTGCATGTCACAGGAGTCCATTCAAATGAATGGGCTCTCATGCCCGTGCAAAAGCGCGGTCTGCACAGCCGCATAGATGTGAACGGGGGGGGGGGGGGGGGGGGATTGTGCAAATGAGACACCACACCTGTTCCTTCCTTGGACATGTTTCACCCCTTACAGGAGTTTCTACTCTATAATTGAGCCCCTGTAAGGCTAGGTTCACATATGTGAAGGTTCCACATGAAAATCCATGCCTGCGGACCCGCAGGGGGTGCCTTTAGTTGTAATGGCACACCGCCCACACTGGAAAACGCAACCGTACTTAGGAACCGAGGTTCCTGTGCTGCGTTTTCAGAAGTGGTGCAGGGACTTCTTCCATACGGGGCATGGGAGTCCATTCAAATGAATGGGCTCTCGTGCCGCATATATGTGAACCCAGGGGTAAGGGGTGAAACGTGTCAGAGCCAAGAACAGGTGGAGAGTCTTTGTGCTGTTAAAATAAAGCATAATAAAGTTTTGCATGCTCTGTTAGTGCAAATAAAGTTTCTCGGACAATACTCAATTGTCAGTTCTGTCGCAAGTTCACTAATACGGCTACAATCCCCTCAAGCATGCTATAGAAGAAATATTTAGCAGCTCTATGTTTGTTTCTAGTGTCACCGCACTTACGGCGTCTGGGTAAACGTATTTTTGTAAACCACTCCCTCATTCTTCTAGTCCTTTTTTGATTGGCTGAGATCTTGGCTACGGTGCAACCCCCAAATGCCACTTCCACCCTTTTATCTAACAATATAAAAGTGCAGCGCTAAGATAAATATGAATATATATATCAAATAAATAATATCAGGTGGGACAGTCAAGTGAAAAAAAAAATTAAAAACATTGCAATTTAACAAATGGTCTATAAAATAATTATTATTATAATGATGTCTGTAGGAATACAAGACAAAGCAAACGTGGTGATAATAGTAAAATAAATGAGGTAGATTAAATAAATATAATGTAGTTGTAACAGACCTGACCCAGTCTGTGCTTGAGTACATCCATTAGAACACCACTTCCCCATCCGAACACCGACAACAGACACCACAGCCGACCATACAAAACTAGACGACACCAATCTTGAAGTAAACCAGATACAAGATATATACACTCAGGGGGCAATCCCCCCTCCCTGCATAATGACACAGGGCGGGGCAATCTTCATTTTTTTTTTTTCCAAAAAAGATTTTTATTAGGAGAAAGCAGTCATAACAATACATGTACAGACGTGAATCCAAGGTCGGACATATCACTGTATGGCGCTTCCCATGTCGCAGACGGGTCAAAGCATAACAGGCATAACGTTGTAAAACATTGTGTCAACGTAATATTACAGTCCAGGAAATGTACGGTATATAAGAAATGCGCAGGGAGACATATTGTATTTTGACCTTTGAGCAGGGGAGTGTGAAGTGTATGATAAAGAATATGAATAGCACATGCTAAAGCTTTGGATCTGTTTCACGAGTCTAGGAATTGGATGTGTGAGTGATATGGGGCGTAGTACGTCTGTTTGAAGGACAGCGTTCTGCATCGGCTATAGTACGAAAACGAAGATAGGAGTAGAGTATAGGTGGGAGCTAGAGATCCGTTAGAGAGAAGGTTAGTTAGTAAGTAGAATAATGAGGTGATAAAGGTAAATATAGAGAAAAAAAAAATCTACATTTAGTAACAAGTGACACACAGGTATTCACACCAGCAGACAGTCCCATCAGGAGGGAGGGCTGCTGGAGACACCCCCCCCCACTAAGCTAATACACATAAACACATACATCCCATAATAGTTTGCTCCTAAGCCAGACACACAATAGAACAATGGGATGCAACCACATGACATTAAACAATCAACAACCTCCCACCCCAATATTAGGACAGATCACCCTGTACCCCTAACAGGCAGAGGGTGACTTACACATAAGAGGGATATGGGGAGCTGAGACAGGGGTCTCCCCACCTCTCCAAAGTGAGCTGGCTTCCATGGGCCCCCCACCCAAAGTGACTCGTGTCACAGTAGTCCATAAACATATATTGGTGTCCGTAGGACTACAAGGCACAGCAATCGTAGGTGAAAGATAAGCCGTGATGTTAGTCAAGTGAGGGAATCCACCACCTCTGCCAGATGTAAACTCACTAGAAAGCTACTGGTAAATAGCATGCATGCACATCACATCGGGGGACCAAGAGACAGCCAGAGGATCTAACATGAACTGCTCTGCCACAGGCAAAAATTGGAGATGGACCCTTTCCTAGGGAAGGATAGCTCACCACAGGAGCCCAGCGATCGTATATACCTAGTCATTTTTATTGCAGTGAAAATAAAACATCCACATGGAACAAGGTATAAGGCAAAGTAAAAGTAAAGTACCAAGATGGCCACCGCTCTGTCCTTCGGCAGCAGCGGCGTGACGTCAAGTATGGTTCCATAGTGACGCGTTTCGTGCGCATGCACGTCTTCAGGGGTACATCCACCATTTTATCTGATATCCTGACATCTCGACTGTTGCGACCTTAGGCCCTTCTCCCACTCTTCAGCTACTGACGTGTGCCAGCTTTGCTCTCAGCCTTAGCACTGAATAAAAGAACATGTCCCCGTCATCCCTTTATACCCACACATGTTGCTCCCAGCCAACCACTTTGCTCTGTCTTTGCATTAAATAAAAGAACATGTCCCCGTCATCCCTTTATACCCACACATGTTGCTCCCAGCCAACCACTTTGCTCTGCCTTTGCATTAAATAAAAGAACATGTCCCCGTCATCCCTTTATACCCTCACATGTCGCTCCCAGCTAGCCACTGGGTGTTGCAGACATTAGCTGTACAATCTGTTCCAGAAGCAGGTCTGAGAGTGGAATCTAGCAACTGATCAGCAGATTGTACAATGAAAGTCTGCAACAAACAGTTGCCAGCAGGAAGGAGCATGGACGTCTACAGGGATGCCGGAGATATGTTTCTTCATATAATGCTAGGGATAAGATACATGGTGTTACCAATCAAAATGGCATGTTTATACAGGTTAGAATTTTTTTTTTTTGCCACATCAAAACAAAGAGCAAAGAGAGTTGGACAGATTGGTGGGAAAAAGTCATACTTCTAATATCTGTATAAACTACTACTGGAGGCGGGGGTTGTTTACCCTCCATAGACGGGCTGAGGGTTATTTGCCTCAACACAGAGAAGTTCTTCACAAACCGGTCCAGGACGTTGTACCTTGTAGGGGCTCAAATATATAGATTTATTGCTTTTGTATTACTTTTGTATTCTGTTCTATTCCTCATGCCTGTATACCCATTCTCTGTTCTTCAGGCTGCAGCTGTTGCACTGTCTGCCCTCATCCGTGCCCTCCATGACATGGAGATGGTTGCCATCGTACGTTACGCCTACGATAAAAGATCTAACCCCCAAGTTGGAGTTGCCTTCCCCAGGATCAAGGAGAAGTACGAGGTATTGATCATCTCCAAGCCGAAAAGTCGACATTCTTGTCGTACAGTTACATTCTGAGGGCCGGTTCACGCTATAGAAACACAGTCCAGATGCGTTCCGGATGCGTTTTTGCATGCGTGTTTTTGGCGCGTTCTGGTTCGTTTTTTATGCATTCCAGTTCATTTTTCCCCTCTTTCTTTTTCTTCAATTTAAATGCGTGTTTTTGGTACGTTTTTTTGATGCGTTTTACTACATTCCAGTACAGTTCTGTGCAGAAAAAATGCAGCGTGTTGTACTTTTTTTTTCTGGAACCGGAACGCACTGGAACTGATGTGAACTAGGACATTGACCACCATATAACCTACTTATTGTGCATTTTGGATGCAGAAAAAAAGCAACTGAAACGCATGTAGTGTGAACTGGCCCTGAAACTTTGGATGGTGTATTTTGCTGGGATTTGGGCTTTAACCACTTCCCGTCCAGCCGCTGTATATAAATGGCCGGACGGTAGCAGTGCAGGGGCAGGTTGCCGTTCATAAATGGTGCCCACCATTTTGGATTGTGCGTGCTCCCTGGGAACCTCTTTGCCTTTAGTTATACTTTAACCAATTCCCGCCCTGCCCATGTATATAAACGGCTGGACGGGAGCAGTTAAGGGGCGGCGGGGGTGGCCGATTATAAACATCCTCCCCGCTCCCTGCTTGTGCGCGCTCCTCCGAACACAGCGGGACACCAGTTGCTGTACAGGACCTCTGTGTGAGGTCCCGATCATGTGATCACTGTTGGCCAATCAGTGATCACATGAATAGGTGTAAGCAAGATGTCACTTCTGACATCATTGATTACTACATGTGAAATCTTTGAATGATCACAGAGATCACATGGTACAAGGCTATTCACAACAGCCTTGTACCATGTGACAAGCTGTGACCAATCACAGCTCACACAGTATTTCTCAATGGCTGCAAGAATGCAGCCAGAGAGGAGAAATGATTGCTTTAACAGCCTTTATGGGTGTAAAAGCAATCATTGTTTGAAAAAGAAAAAAAATTATCATCACCCCCCACAAGTAGTACAGTGTCACTATGGTGTCACTGTACTGCTAGGTTGACAGTATGTTTAAAAAAAACAACAAATTTTCAGAGGTCCGATATTGTTCTATGTACAATCCGTGTTTTATTGATTGCATGGAATATTCTCATTTTCTGAGATTGTGGATTTGGGGTTTTCATGAGCTGTAAGCCATAATCATCACAATGATGACAAATCACGGCTTGAACTATCTTGCTTTGCATGTAATGAGTCTCAGATATTAGTTTCACCTTTTAAGTTGCTGCACTGAAATCAATGAACTTTTGCACGATATTCAAATTTTTCGAGTTTCACCTGTAGTACAAGACTTGCTCTGGGCTCACTCATGAGGATATCGGAAATAATTTACTCACAGCAGGGGTGCTCAACCTGTGGCCCTCTGAGCCCCCTGCTGTGGCCCTCGACCTCAAACTAAATGCAGGAGTTTTGGTGCGCTTTCAGCACCACACCCGTAAGATACAATGGAAGTCTATGGCAAAGTGCAGCTAACCCAGGAAAGCCGCAGGTGTGAAAGCAGTCTTATTGGGGGCTCAGGACAGTAAGTGCTCCTTTACATTTGTGGTTTGGGGGGGTAGGTGGTTTTTACCACCCCAACCACTGGTGTAGCGTTAGGGGTCACAATGGCGACCACCGCTCCATGCTCCTGGGGCCACGTGCTGCCTCCCTGTCACATTGTGTTTTACACTTGGACAAGAGGAGCAGCTCATCCTCTCCATTTTCCTCCTGCAACTGCTCAAAGTCAACTTCTCCTCTTCTCCCTCCCACCGGCATTCATGCAGGAGGAAAATGTTCATTATGCTATTCAAAATAAAAAATGTTAAATTCTGAACTATTTCATTCAATTATGGCCCGCGACCAGTTACCAAATCACTTAAGTGGCCCTCACTGCTCAGAGGGTTGAGCACCCCTGGACTAAAACTTTAGGTTCCCGCTTTACCCGAATGTTGCCAGTTAAAGTGGAACTCTCCTCCCCTCGGGTACCACCATTATGGTGCATGCCCAGACGTGCCCTGTCTGTTCTTCGGATTCTGGCAAAGCTCATTGGCACATCTACACATGTGCAGGTGATTTTCCATGCACACGTAAGGACAGGGAAGGTTTTGGACTTCTCTGGGAGCAGCCTTTGCTCATGCGTGTGTGCAGAGGGCCAGAGAAACTGGCATATGCGCAGATGTGCTGCAGTCCTCTCTTGGGACCTAAACCCTGAGCCCTGCAGCACATCTGTGCACGAGACGGGTAGAAATTCCAGCACAAATAAATCTCAAGAAAAACTGTTCCATTTGTAAGAGAGAAGGGGGAGAAGGCAAGACAGCATAACATACCCTTTAGGGCAGTGGTCTCCAAACTGCGGCCCTTTGCTTGCTTTTATCCGGCTCTTGGGGCACTATTTCATTTGCCAACACCAATAATGGGGCACAGTTCCTTCCAATGACACCAGTGATGGGGCACAATTCCTCCCAACGACACCAGTGATGGGGCACAATTCCTCCCAACGACACCAGTGATGGGGCACAATTCCTCCCACTGATACCAATGATGAGGCACAGTTCCTCCCAATTACACCTACAATGGGGCCCAATGACACCAATGATGAGGCACAGTTCCTCCCAATTACATCAACAATGGGGCATAGTTCCTCCAACTGACACCTACAGTGGGGCACAATTCCTCCCAATGACACCACTGATGGGGCACAATTCCTTCCAATGACACCAGTGATGGGGCACAATTCCTCCCAATGATACCAGTGATGGGGCACAATTCCTCCCAACGAAACCAGTGATGGGGCACAATTCCTCCCAACGACACCAGTGATGGGGCACAATTCCTCCCACTGATACCAATGATGAGGCACAGTTCCTCCCAATTACACCTACAATGGGGCCCAATGACACCAATGATGAGTCACAGTTCCTCCCACTTACACCAACAATGGGGCTCAATGTGTGTGTGTGTGTATATACAGTGAGGAACAGAAGTATTTGAACCCCCTGCGATTTTGCAAGTTCTCCCACTTAGAAATCATGGAGGGGTCTGAAATTCACATTGTAGGTGCATTCCCACTCTGAGAGACCGAATTAAAAAACAAAATTCAGGAAATCACATTGTATGATTTTAAAGAATGTATTTGTCTTGCACTGCTGAACATAAGTATTTGAACACCTAAGAAACAGCAAGAATTCTGGCTCTCAAAGACCTGTTACTGTGCCTTTAAAAAGTCCACCTCTACTCCACTCATTAATCTAACTTAGTAGCACCTGTCTGAGCTCTTTAAAGACACCTGTCCACCCCACAGCCAGTCAGACGCCAATTACTACCATGGGCAAGACCAAAGAGCTGTCAAAAGACACCAGAGGCAAAATTGTGGACCTCCACAAGGCTGGAAAGGGCTACGGGGCAATTGCCAAGCAGCTTGGTGAAAATAGATCAACTGTTGGAGCAATTGTTAGAAAATGGAAGAGGCTAAAGACGACTGTCAGTCTCCCTCGGACTGGGGCTCCATGCAAGATATCACCTCGTGGGGTATCACTGATGATAAGAAAGGTGAGGAATCAGCCCAGAACTACAAGGGAGGAGCTGGTCAATGACATGAAGAGAGCTGGGACCACAGTTTCAAAGGTCACTGTCGGTAGAACACTATGCCCTCATGGTTTCAAATCATGCATTGCACAGAAGCTTCCCCTGCTCAAGTCATCACATGTCCAGGCCCGTCTGAAGTTTTCCAATGACCATCTGGATGATCCAGAGGATGCATGGGAGAAAGTCATGTGGTCAGATGAGACCAAAGTAGAACTTTTTGGTCTAAACTTCACTCGTCGTGTTTGGAGGAAAAAGAAGGATGAGTTGCATCCCAAGAACACCATCCCCACTGTGAAGCATGGAGGTGGTAACATCATGCTTTGGGGGTGCTTTTCTCCAAAGGGGACAGGATGACTGCACTGTATTAAGGAGAGGATGAATGGGGCCATTTATTGTGAGATTTTGAGCAACAACCTCCTTCCCTCAGTCAGAGCATTGAAGATGGGTCGTGGAGGGGTCTTCCAACATGACAACGACCCGAAGCACACAGCCAGGAGAACCAAGGAGTGGCTCCGTAAGAAGCATATCAAGGTTCTGGAGTGGCCTAGCCAGTCTCCAGACCTAAATCCAATAGAACATCTTTGGAGGGAGCTGAAACTCCGTGTTGCTCAGCGACACCCCCGAAACCTGACAGATCTAGAGGAGATCTGTGTGGAGGAGTCGGCCAAAATCCCTGTTGCAGTGCAAACCTGGTCAGGAACTACAGGAAACGTCTGAAATCTGTAATTGCAGACAAAGGCTTCTGTACCAAATATTATCACTGATCTTCTCAGGTGTTCAAATACTTATGTTCAGCAGTGCGAGACAAATACATTCTTTAAAAAATCATACAATGTGATTTCCTGAATTTTTTTTTTTTTTTTATTCTGTCTCTGAGTGGGAATGCACCTACAATGTGATTTCTAAGTGGGAGAACTTGCAAAATCGCAGGGGGTTCAAATACTTCTGTTCCTCACTGTATGTGTGTGTGTGTGTATATATATATATATATATATATATATATATATATATATATATATATATATATATATATATATATATATATATATACACACACACACACACATGCACTGTTGTCTTTTTATTCACTGTATTCACTTTTCTCTGATGAGCTCAGTGATCTTTGTGATGTATATTTGACCTTATAACGTCTACTTTACCATTCAGAAATACATTGACATATCTTCCTGACCCTGATGTCTTCCTGCCATGTTACTGAGTATTGCTGTTTTCTGCTCCCAGTGCCTTGTTTACGTCCAGCTACCATACATGGAAGATCTCCGTCAATATCTCTTCTCTTCACTTGAAAACAACAAGAAGTTCAAGCCGACAGGTACAGTCATAAAATCTGGTGAAGCTGCTTATTTAAAGCCCAACTCCGGGCAAAAAAGAAAGCTTTCCTATATAGTGGGGCTGTGCCCGCATGCCTTGGATCAACTGCTTGTGTTGTGTAGGGGTGAGGAGAAACCTTATTCTCACCTTATCCTTTGTGCTGATGGAAAACGGTCCCCCCCCCCCCCCATGGGCCAGTGGTGGACTGTTCCTGGTCTATGAAGTATTCCCTGGGCTTGATGACATCAGGGACAGTATACAACTCAAGACCCTAAATATACCAAATGATCTAATATAATATAAATACACCAACTCAAAATAGTCCAATGTGAACTCTAAAATTATGCCCAAAAATTGTCCAAAAATTGTCCAAAATAAATCCAATATAGTGTCCTAATTTCAATCTTTTTCCTCCAATCTGTGAAAATTATTCCTCCAAACACGTACCTCGAGAAATAAAAATAAACAATCTAGTGCAATTCAATTAATTAGAAAAAATCACCCCGTGAAACTCCACACTTCACTGCAAAAGTATATCTATTTGTGAAAAAAAAAAAAAAAAAAAAAAAGTGGGACTATGACAGTGTGGCGGTCAGTTATAGTGGGACTATGATAGTGTGGCGGACGGTTATAGGGGAACTATGATAGTGTGGCGGACAGTTATAGTGGGACTATGACAGTGTGGCGGACAGTTATAGTGGGACTACAACAGTTTGGCGGACAGTTATAGTGGGACTATGATAGTGTGGAGGACAGTTATAGTGGGACGGTTATAGTGGGACTATGATAGTGTGGAGGACGGTTATAGTGGGACTATGATACGGTTATAGTGGGACTATGATAGTGTGGAGGACAGTTATAGTGGGACTATGATAGTGTGGAGGACAGTTATAGTGGGACTATGATAGTGTGGAGGACAGTTATAGTGGGACTATGATAGTGTGGGACAGTTATAGTGGGACTATGACGGTTATAGTGGGACTATGATAGTGTGGCGGACGGTTATAGTGGGACTATGACAGTTTGGCGGACAGTTATAGTGGGACTATGATAGTGTGGATTACAGTTATAGTGGGACTATGATAGTGTGGCGGACGGTTATAGTGGGACTATGATAGTGTGGCGGACGGTTATAGTGGGACTATGATAGTGTGGAGGACAGTTATAGTGGGACTATGACAGTGTGGTGGACAGTTATAGTGGGACTATGATAGTGTGGCGGACGGTTATAGTGGGACTAGTGGGACTATGACAGTGGATTGGCGGACAGTTATAGTGGGACTATGATAGTGTGGATTACAGTTATAGTGGGACTATAGTGGGACAGTGTGGCGGACAGTTATAGTGGGACTATGATAGTGTGGCGGACGGTTATAGTGGGACTATGATAGTGTGGCGGACAGTTATAGTGGGACTATGATAGTGTGGATTACAGTTATAGTGGGACTATGACAGTGTGGATTACAGTTATAGTGGGACTATGACAGTGTGGACTATGATACAGTTATAGTGGGACTATGATAGTGTGGATTACAGTTATAGTGGGACTATAGTGTGGACAGTTGTGGGCGTGGACAGTTATAGTGGGACTATGACAGTAGTACAGTTATGACAGTGTGGAGGACTATAGTGGACGTGATAGTGTATAGTGGAGGACAGTTATAGTGGGACTATGAGTGGGACTATGACAGTTGGATAGTGGGGACTATGATAGTGTGGAGGACGGTTATAGTGGGACTATGACAGTGTGGCGGACAGTTATAGTGGGACTATGATAGTGTGGAGGACAGTTATAGTGGGACTATGATAGTGTGGCGGACGGATTGGGACACGGTTATAGTGGGACTATGATAGTGTGGGAGGACGGTTATAGTGGGACTATGATAGTGTGGCGGACAGTTATAGTGGGACTATGATAGTGTGGCGGACAGTTATAGTGGGACTATGATAGTGTGGCGGACAGTTATAGTGGGACTATGATAGTGTGGCGGACAGTTATAGTGGGACTATGATAGTGTGGCGGACAGTTATAGTGGGACTATGATAGTGTGGCAGACAGTTATAGTGGGACTATGATAGTGTGGCGGACAGTTATAGTGGGACTACGACAGTGTGGCGGACAGTTATAGTGGGACTATGATAGTGTGGGACAGTTATAGTGGGACTATGATAGTGTGGCGGACAGTCTGGCGCATGCTGACGCTGTCTGGGAAGGATACTCAATGACTGACAGTAGTGATACCAATACTGTACACTGTCACTGTACTAATGACATTGGCTGGGAAGGGGTTAACATTGAGGGGAAATCAAAGGCTGAACTGTGTGCCCAACAAGTGGAATGTGTGTAATATGTGCTGCTTTTAATAACACATAAAATATTTGTGCTTCGCTAAAATGTAAATATATTATAATCCTGATACTTATAAACTATATGTCACATATATATATAATTCCAGTCCGTAATTAAATGGATACATAAATAAATAAAATTAAGGCTCAAGGTGACTCAATTAATCTCATTCGTATGTAATTCAGCAAGATTCGGTGAGGGGCAGGAAACAGATAAAATGCGCACTCACCAGATGCGCAAAGGTATTGCGCAGTATGTTATTAAAAGGAGGTCTGCCAGGAATCCCTCTTAAGGTGGTGTTAGAAGCAGCCCAGGAAAGGTGGATTTCATCAGGGTTACAGGGTGGTAGTTGAACCGGCGGTCCCCTTTAAGGACGTGGGTGTAGCCTCTTCCAGGTACTGGGATAGTCACCAGGGGGAGCTTTTGGGGATTTAAGTGCTCAATGCAGAGCAAGAAGGGAAATGCCTATAGTGTAATATTTGTGAACTTTTATTAAAGTAGGAATGATAAAAGGTAAATAAATGTAGTTATACATATAAAAATTCCTCATAGATATGATTTTAGCATGCAGCTGCTGAGAGCACTGACCAGCTGGTATGTAGTAATGGCCGTCGGACCTCCTTGATCCGGCGGCGTGACGTCACGGCGTGCAGGCTCCTCCTTAAATGCTGCATGCTAAACTCATACCGATGAGGAATTTTTCTATGTATGACTGTGTCCAATCACAGCACGGATCGGCAGGGGGGCGAAGTAGATGTAAGTTGTCCAGCCGGCATGTGCTGCTACGGCCCGCAGCAAAACTATGCTTTGTTCACGCTCAGTCCAAAGAAGTAGTTTTTCTTTAATACTACCTCCCCAGCTGCGCATACTGCCTGTCATTTTGCTCCCCTGCCAAGAATGAGGAAAGACAGCCATGCGCAAGTCACATGTCTAGATGGCGCTTCCAAGGGGGTTGTTTGTCTCCCACCCACAAGCTGTAATAGTCACCCGTGGTACTTTATACAAGAAGTGTTACTGTGTATTCCTACTGGACTGTGATGGTAAGATGTTCATTGTCTAATCCTGTTGTCACCCGCAGATGACCAGCTGTCCGCAGTGGACTCTCTCATTGACAGCATGAGTTTGGTGTCTAATGATGGGGAGGATTTGGAGGATCTGTTCAATCCCAGCAAAATCCCTAACCCCCAATTCCAGAGGCTGTTCCAGGTAAGAGATAGTCCTAAGATGCTGACACTGTACTGTGCAGATTGTCATTTGACTCAGAACTGAAAGTGGTTGTAAACCTCAGACATGAAATATGAACAAGGCATATCCCTCTATGGTGTGTATTTGTCCCAGTTCAGAGCATTAAGTGTCATTTTTGTTTGCCGCCCCCTTCCTCTGCTATCAGCACAAATCACTTCTGACAAGTTTTCCTGACACCAAGAGATAGAAAGGTGATGGTGGTGGGACCTCCAACACACAGCCTAAGATTGACAGCCTCAGCTCTGTGCCTGTGTGCAGTGAAGGAGAGTGTGTCTCTTCCCTCCAATCAGCTCTTCTCACTGTAACTGTAACTTGGCTCCCTGCCCTTTAATGGATGTAAAGGAGAGAGGGCTACAGATAAACAGGTACAACTTAAGTAGGAGGATTTGTTTCATCTCTGTGCATCACCTGAAGTCAGTCAATTCACTGGGTATATGGAAGGGTTCACAATCACTTTCCTGCCCAGGTCATCTTTCAGCGCTGTCACACTTTGATAATTGCGCAGTCATGTAACTCTACCCACATGAAATTTTTATCATTTTTGTTTAGACAGAACTTTCTTTTGGTGATATTTGCTAAACAAACAAAAAAATAGACCAAACATTTTGAAAAAAAACCCCCACATTTCTGTTAGAAAATTTTCAAATAAATAATTTTTCTTTTTCACTGATGGGCACTGATGAGGCTGCACTGATGGGCACTGATGAGGCTGCACTGATGGGCACTGATGAGGCTGCACTGATGGGCACTGATGAGGCTGCACTGATGAGGCTGCACTGATGGGCTGCACTGATGGGCTGCACTGATGGGCTGCACTGATGGGCTGCACTGATGGGCTGCACTGATGGGCTGCACTGATGGGCTCCACTGATGGGCTCCACTGATGGGCTCCACTGATGGGCTCCACTGATGGGCTCCACTGATGGGCACTGTTAGGCTCCACTGATGGGCACTGATAGGCTCCACTGATGGGCACTGTTAGGCTCCACTGATGGGCACTGTTAGGCTCCACTGATGGGCACTGATAGGCTCCACTGATGGGCACTGATAGGCTCCACTGATGGGCACTGATAGGCTCCACAGATGGGCACTGATAGGCTCCACAGATGGGCACTGATAGGCTCCACTGATGGGCACTGATAGGCTCCACTGATGGGCACTGTTAGGCTCCACTGATGGGCACTGTTAGGCTCCACTGATGGGCACTGTTAGGCTCCACTGATGGGCACTGTTAGGCTCCACTGATGGGCACTGTTAGGCTCCACTGATGGGCACTGATAGGCTCCACTGATGGGCACTGATAGGCTCCACTGATGGGCACTGATAGGCTCCACTGATGGGCACTGATAGGCACTGATGGGCACTGATAGGCTCCACTGATGGGCACTGATAGGCTCCACTGATGGGCACTGATAGGCTCCACTGATGGGCATAGGCTCCACTGATGGGCACTGTTAGGCTCCACTGATGGGCACTGTTAGGCTCCACTGATGGGCACTGTTAGGCTCCACTGATGGGCACTGATAGGCTCCACTGATGGGCACTGATAGGCTCCACTGATGGGCACTGATAGGCTCCACTGATGGGCACTGATAGGCTCCACTGATGGGCACTGATAGGCTCCACTGATGGGCACTGATAGGCTCCACTGATGGGCACTGATAGGCTCCACTGATGGGCACTAATGTGGAAGCACTGATGGGCACTAATGTGGAAGCACTGATGGGCACTAATGTGGAAGCACTGATGGGCACTAATGTGGAAGCACTGATGGGCACTAATGTGGAAGCACTGATGGGCACTAATGTGGAAGCACTGATGGGCACTAATGTGGAAGCACTGATGGGCACTAATGTGGAAGCACTGATGGGCACTAATGTGGAAGCACTGATGGGCACTAATGTGGAAGCACTGATGGGCACTAATGTGGAAGCACTGATGGGCACTAATGTGGAAGCACTGATGGGCACTAATGTGGAAGCACTGATGGGCACTAATGTGGAAGCACTGATAGGCTGCAAGGATGGGCACTGGTAGGCTCCACTGATGAGCACTGATAGGCGGGCCTGATGTGCACTAATGAGGAGGCACTGATAGGCATGCACTGATGGGCACTGATAGGCGGCACTGATGGGGTGGCACTGAAAGGCGGCACTGATGGGCACTAATGAGGAGGCACTGATGGGCATGCACTGATGGGCACTGCTCAGCTGCACTGATGGGGTGGCACTGAAAGGCGGCACTGATAGGTGTCACTGATCTGCACTGATGGGAACTGCTCAGCTGCACTGATAATCAGGGCACTGATGTAAATGTCCCCCGTGTGAATTGTCGGTTACCGGCTTTCCTTTCCTCACACCGTGACAGCGCGGGAGGAAAAGACTGCCAATAATCGGCAAGTCTGTTTACACTGTGATCAGCTGCGATTGGACACAGTTGATCACATGGTAAAGGGCTGCTGCGATTGGCCCTTTACCTCGATCTGTGATCAGCTGTGTCCTTAGCTGTGGAGGGTGGGGTCGGGGTTCTGGGAGGATGTCCTGTTCTCTTTAATGAAACACCCAGGGTCTTAAAGACTATGGAGGTCTCCTCTGAGCTCCACTGAATCTAATGTATTACAGATCTCTTCGCATTATATCCTGTCCTGGTCATAGTGACCGGGGACACTGACATGGGGACCCGGAAATGACCTTTTACATGTCGGCAACAAGAAGAATGGTAAATACACTTACAATGAAAAGATGATAACCCGGCACTTCATATGATAAAAAACAACTCATGCTCCAGAACCCAAGATGGCCGCTGCCAGATCGCATATGCGCAGTGGCGTGTGTTCCGGCTCTGCCCTACTAGTTTTGTCAAAGATGATGTCATTGTCAGTGCATTTACCACATTAATTGGTGTTTTTTGTATCGGGATTACACTGGATGGCGTGTTTTTCTTTTTCATGATACTGAGCCTATATGCAGAGCGATCTATTGTAACGCACAGCGCTATCATTCCATATGTGGTTCTGAGGAAAGCCGGATATCTTGGACCCGATATACAAGTGCTGGCTGACCACACTTAATTGGGGGTCCTAGGATTCCGGTAAGCCTTCCTCTGTTGTACACCGAGGTGCTCTGTGCTCTATCATTACCACTTGCTTACCGGCCAGTTTTCACCGTTCAGCGCACTCGCACTTTGAATGACAATTGCGCTGTCATGCAACGCTGTACCCAAACTAAATTGTAACATTTTGTTCACACAACTAGAGCTTTCTTTTGGGGGTATTTAATCACCACTGGGTTTTCTATTTTTTGCTAAAAAAGGCAGAAAATGTTCTGTGTCTCCAATCTAAGCATTGATAGTGTGATCTCTGTAACTTACAGTTGTGAGGAGATGGCGATAACTTCAACCTTAGTTGGATATCACAGTCAGTGACTCAATGAGAATGACATCTTGTAGATCTTGTGAAGTTTATTCCATAAACCGAGAGAATCTTACAACAATGAACATTCGATAGGTCAAAAGAACGTACTGTGTCTTGCTGCATGCCATGAGGCTAGCTGCAATGCATCTCTGGGAAAAGGGGGAGGGCTATCTATGCAACATTAACTAACCAAAGGAAAGGGAGGAGCAGAGACAAAACACAGAAAAGATTTAAAGGCATATGACCAGGGGCGGACTGACCATTTGGAAACTCGGGCACTGCCCGAGGGCCCGGGGTCAGTAGGGGGCCCCATGAGATGCCCCTGGTACCTTTTTCATAGGCTTTTTTGAGTTTGGGCAAGGACACAGGGGCCCCATGATCCCCTATTGCCCGGGGGCCCCATGAGTTGTCAGTCCACCCCTGCATTTGACAGTCAATATGACAATCATGTGAAACATGACAGAAAATGTTGGGAAAAAACATGTTTTCCTTCATTTCTGATATAAATTATTGCAAATAAACAATTGTTCTTCATAAATTTAGGCCAAGATGTATTCTGCTACATTTGTTTGGTGAAAATAACCCAATTCAGTGTTTATTATTTATTCTGTAGGAAAGTTAGAGATTTCACAAACTAAGCTACAGTGGATATAAAAAGTCTACACGCCCCTGGTAAAATGTCAGGTTTCTGTGATGTAAAACAATGAGACAGTGATAAATCATTTTAGAACTTTTCGCACCTTTAATGTGACCTATAAAACTGTACAACTCAATTGAAAAACAAACTGAAATCTTTTGGGGGGGGGGAAGGGGAGTAAAAATAAAAAAAACTAAAATATTGCGGTTGCATAAGTGTGCACACCCTCTTATAACTGGGGATGTAGCTGTGTTCAGAATGAAGCAATCCCATTCACAATCATGTTAAATAGGAGTCAGAGCACACCTGACATTATTTAAAGTGCCTCTGATTAACCCCAAATAAAGTTCAGCTGTTCTAGTCAGTCTTTCCTGACGTTTTCTTAGTCGCATCCTACAGCAAAAGCCATGGTCCGCAGAGAGCTTCCAAAGCATCAAAGGGATCTCATTGTTAAAAGGTATAAGTCAGAAGAGTACAAAAGAATTTTCAAGGCTTTAGATACACTGTGGAACACAGTGAAGACAGTCATCATCAAGTGGAGAAAATATGGCACAACAGTGACATCACCAAGAACTGGACGGTCCCTCCAAAATGGATGAAAAGACGAACAGAAAACTGGTCTGGGAGGCAGCCAAAAGGCCTACAGCAACATGAAAGGAGCTGCAGGAATATCTGGCAAGTCCTGGCTGCTGTGTGGTCCATGTGACAACAATCTCCGTACTCTTCATATGTCTGGGCTATGGGGTAGAGGGCAAGATGGAAGCCTTTTCTTACGAAGAAAAACATCCAAGCCCGGCTAAATTTAGCAAAAACATATCTGAAGTCTCCCGAAAGCATGTGGGAAAATGTGTTCTGGTCTGATGAAACCAAGGTTGTACTTTTTGGCCATAATTCCAAAAGATATGTTTGGCG